ACATCATAAGATAAAAATCTACTGATCATAATTTAGAAGTGAAGCTAATTCACTCGTTGAACTTGCAGATCCAACCATAGCAAAAATGTCACAAAAGAACTAAGGATGGAAGCAAAAATATAACGACTTCATACATAAACGTGAGGTCTGACGTATATGTAGATATAAACATAATATAAGAAGAATCCACTGGGTGCTACTGGACATGAGACTCGTTTTATAGGACACACTCCCGTGGATGAACACACATGACTTGTTGGTGTCATAAGGCTCTACTAGGCAAATAAATCATGTGGTATTGCCACATCAACGTGACTACCTAGTAAATTATCTAGGTGAATTGTAAACTTTCACATATATAACATATATCGCAAAAATGAGATCCTTGTTTCCGTTTCACTTAGCAAAATAATTATAACATATAAATTGAAAATCATTTTTGGAAAAGTAAAATCTTTGGTTTTAAACTAAAACATTTATTTGTAACCAAAATTTTCAGTTTCATTGTTTTAAGAAAATACTGAATTTAAGAGAAATATCACTCACTTTTACTTATATTGTGTGTACTCGGACTCAATCTTGTTGGCCTCACTAATTGGCCAGTATGTTTTTCCTAGAATAGAACCACATATGTTATCAAAGACATGTTAGAACTGTGTATGAATGCATTAAAGTGCTAATGAATATATGAGATGTATTCATAATTAAGCTGTTTTCTGCCCTTTCTACTTTGGGTCAAAAGTTCTATTACACACATACTCCAAAAATTCTCAAAATATTAATATATACTCGTTATCAAGCTACGTATACTGGATATGCTCACATTTACAAAAGGAGTTATAGCTATCTTTTTATGAAAAATAATCCGTAGGTGGATTAGCGAGCTTCTAGGTTGGAGTTCAGGTAAATTCTAATGTAAATTTAGCCATGTTTTTACTAAACTAACTAAGTTACTTTCTCAGAAAAATTAATATCCATTAATAAAAATTAATCTGAACGGGTAGAAATTATTCCTCGATTTTTCACCATAAAACAACACTTACACTAAAATTCAAACCGATTAAATGAAATTAAAATACGATTGGATTGAAAATACGAAAAATATTTATTGAAAAACTTACTCGAAATTCGATTAAAATTCTTTTGCCTTCATTCGGTTCTTAGCTCCCGTCTTTTCCTTGCTCTCTTTTCTCTTTCTTTTCTTTTGTTTCTTCACGTCGTGCTCGACTTACGCAATGAAAATTTCTTTTTAATTGGTGCCTCTCACTGAAGGTGGTGCATTTAGGCGGCAATTGATTATTTTATTATTATTTTTATATTATTATTATTTTAAGTAATTGCAAAAACACCCTTCTTGTCCTCAAAGATTAAGAGGCTTTTAAAACTAAGCTTAAGCCACTAATTTCTCCACTAAATATGCTTATGTAAAAATAAAATATAGAGTACATATCAAAACTTTGGATCGGGATGTTACAGAACTGGTCAAGAATCGCGCAAAACAATGCTAAATCGGCCACTAGAACTCCTGAACTAGCTTGAATCAAGGTGGTTCAACTAAAAAACCAATTTTCAGTCGAACCAGACATCTTCAAACCTTTAGACCAATTCAGTCTAATAGATCTCTTCCTTTTGAATCCATGACCGGTCCAACTTCCCAAATCCAAGTTGATTTGACCAGTGAACTGGTTGGTCAAACACTAAACTATCTCTAGACTGGTTCAGTTAATAGAAATCCTAATTTCCCCTTGGACAGCCTATCTCAGCCTTAATAATTTAATTTTCATTTTACCCTATCCCTGTTCTACCCTATCCTTGGGATAACATATCCCAATTCCACTTGACTGAGTTAACCCACTATTTTTGGTCAAATGGGCTAAGTCAACTCACTAAGTTGACTTGTCCCAAGCCCAATCCAATTACTCAGCTTGGGCTAGCCCAAGCCCAAACCAGCAACCCACACTGGGTCGGCCCAACCCAAACCTCGCTCGGGCCAACCCTAGCCCAAGCCCAGTCGGGGTAATCTAGCCTAAAACCAACCGGGCCCAGCCTGCTCGAAGCCTAATCATGCTAGGCCTGAAACCTCACCCGGCCCCACTGAGTTGACCCGGTGAGCCGAGTCAACTCGGTCGGTCAACCCAACACGGACCCAGTTGTATTCGAGTCTGTCTCCTTCACCCGATTGCAAACCTAGGTAATGCATCCGGGTTTGCAATAGACCCGGTCAAGAAATTGGCCAAAAACAACCAAATTCGAGCATACTTATCCAAAAGAAAGATAAAAACTAGATGTCCCGAGCCTAGCGAACCTGGATGTAACCTTTAATTGGAAGAAAATCAACTTGAGTGGCTTGAAAAACCAGATTCACCTTCGATGGTCTGTGACGCCTGCCGATCGGCACCCAAGCCCAAAATCTCTCTCTATCTCCCTCGAAACACCAAATTACTTGAGGGCTTTGCTTCATCGAACAAAAATGAGACTTAGCGCTTGATTTAATCACCCCAACAACCCCCAATCATCACGGTATGGCTTCTACAATAGCTCAGGTGACTGTTTCTGACAGAATTTCTGTCTAATTTCAATTTAGTCCCTCAAACTTTGGTTCCTCTTAAATAAGTCCTTGAGCAACTTTTAATTTGGCCCCACTGATTTTTAATTCTTTCATTTTTATCCCTAACCTTAATAATCATAAAAAAAATTAGATCATTACAACTATACTTTTAAATGTCAAAATGATTTATTAATTTATATTTTTTAATTTTTTTATTTTATTTATAAATTATTTTATCTATAATACAAAATAATAAAAATATGATAATTTAATAAGTTGAATTTGGATTATTATATCAAATATTGGATTTTATCCAGATTCGGATATATTAATACAACCATATAATTTTAAATCGAATATAGTACCCACACTATTAGATTTGGATCTATTGTACTCTAATTTGAATCCAATCCATTAATAAGTCCTGTAATATCTATTTATTATAACTTTCAAATCTACAAAGGTTTTTATAAAAAAATTTATAAACAAACTGAAAGAATTGAGAAATGGGAAGGAGAAATCGATTATCTGCGAATGGATGACCTCAGAACCAGGCGGATTTGAAAAATAAGAGTGAGGACTGTAAATCAGGCAGCTTGCGCGTAAAGCTGTACAATTACGTGTGTGAGATGAGAATCAAAAGCTTCAGGACTGAGCTAATGTTAGTCAAACTTGCCAGGTTGAGTCAAAATTAGGCGCAGCAAAATTTTGAACTCATGGAATTTTTTCTTGTCCATGGAAACAAAGTTTAAAGATTAAATTTTAAAATTTTAAATTTTAATTATGAAAAAAAATTATATCAATTCAATTCCTTTAGATTTCATAATTTTCAAACTCTAAAAACATCAGACATTCATAAAATTAAATTTCTAAAATTTTGATGCTACCCAGTGTTTTGCAGAATTTGAAAATTACGGGGCTTAACATTTGTTACAGTTTTACTGGGAGCGATGTGAAAGCATCATACGGTTGCTTTCCGTGGGAACTCACTGTTAACATTTTGTATGCTTTCTTTTGCAACAGTTAAAGTAATTCATATTTGAAACAGTTAAATTTTCTTCAAACCAATATTTTAGTAAGATAAATCTAGCAGAAATAAGAATATTAGGGTGAATCTAATCTATTGCAAAAACAATCACGATAGATTAGCGACAGAACTCTCTCGTCCAAAAAAAAAAAAAAGGTAATTACTAACGAAAAGAAATCCACCACTAATTCTTGATGAATTGATCTGCACAAATTTTCTCACTAGTTTTGTTGTTAATTATGTCGCTAATTTCTTACTAATTCATTGCTAATTAAACACTTCTCCTCATCATTACGCCAGCTGTCTATCGCTATAGTTTGACTAATTGCATCATTAAGCACTCACTAATCATTACTAATTGCTAATCATTGTTAATTTATCACTAATATTTTACCAATTCAATTTTCAAAACACAAATTTTTAAAATTAAGACATGCCTTAAGAGCATAGTTATTTAAAAATAATTGAGATATTATTTTTTTTACTATATATTTTGGAGGTATGTTTTCTGAAATTGTGTTTTTTCTATACATTAGTTTTTAGAGAATGATTTATGTGAAAAATTGAAAAATCAAAACATTGGAGGTAAAAATGAAGCAAAAAATAGATGAAGGTATCCATATAGGGATTAAATTGATAAAATTAGAAGGAAAAGAATTAAAGTGAAAAAGATGTTAAAAAATCAAGGACTAAATTGAAATATTTAAAATATCATATATATATAATATAATATAAATATTATATATAGAATATGTTGTAAACAATAGAAATTTTTTTTAAATAAGTGGAGCAAACACTTCAATTTTTTTTATATATACTTATCAGACAATTTAAAAAATATATTTTAAAAAAATAATATTTGTAAAATTTTAACTCCTAAAACTGTTAAAAAAAAAAACTCCTAAATATCAAAGTTGGGACTGAAACCAGTTGTTCCGTAGCATCCGTTACGACTTTTGATGCCCTCACCCATGGCAAGTTCTTCTCCATGTCATCGTATTTTAATGAAATCCAGTGCTTCCACATCTCTCGCACACGTGCTGTCACCCAAAAAAAAATTAAATAACAAATAAAAGATTAAAATAGAAAATAAAAATGAGTAGACCTACTCTGGCAGGCCATGTAGAAGTCATAGAAAAAATCAAATTAATTTTTCAGTCGCGCAGTAGGAACTAACGTAGATAATATGTTTATATTAGTTATATTTGTAATTTTTTTTAAAAATATTTACCTCCACAGAACGAGAAAATCATAAAAATTTTAAAAATCAAATATTTAATAATCATATATATTATTTTATATATTCTCACTTGCTAAGAAATGTTAATGAAATGAAATGCAATTGCCCTGTCATAGCCTCGGTTTGAAATGATTCAAACTTTGACATTAATTCCACAAATTACAAGATTCTTGTTTTTGGAATTGTTAACGAAGAAGATTAGAAGAAAGATAATCGGAATCTCCTAAGCTTGCACAACTCATTCCTCCAACACTTCCCATGTTTTTGTCAATTTCATCACCCAACTCCTTAGAATACTCCCACTTTTCCTGCAGCTGCAGGGCACACTTGAGGCTTCCCAGAACATCCTCAATAGTTGGCCGTTCGATCCCCTCATCTCTCACGCAATTCACTGCAATATTCACATATTCCCTCAAACATTCTGGTGCTATTTTGTTCATTAGGCATGGATCGAGGATCCCATCCACCATATTCATTTCCAAGTTAGTCTTAAACCAACGGACTAAATTCACCTCATCCTCATCCTGAGAAACAATCATTGGCTTTCTACCACATAGTAATTCTAGTAAGATGACTCCGAATGAATATACTCTGACTTTACAGTTAACATCCCACTTTCAAGGTACTCTGGATCCAAATATCCAACTTGGCATTTGACAAGGTTTTTGGGGCTTGCACTAGAGACATTGGTAGGAACTATTACGGAATATTCAAAACCCACAAGTTTTGCAACCAAATTCTCGTCTAATAGTATAGTATCAACATTGAGGTTTTTGTAATAACCCGGATTTTCATTTTATTAAGGCCGAGGACCTTATGCAATAATTGTTTTTAGTAGGGGCTGGATTGAAATTTTGCCAGGGACCAATTCGAGAAAATCAAAACTTCGAAGGGCCAAACTGCAATTAGACTGAAACCTGCCATGAACAGTGGACC